ACAAAAATATTTTACATCGTTAAATTATAACCATTTACGGTGAAACTCGTACCAACCAATTTGCTTATTGGAAAGATATTTTTAAAGACTAATCGTGGTTACATGTACGTTTAAGATATTAATAATAACAAGGCTTTTAAACGATCCTCTAAAAACTGTTGAAAGAAACAACAATTTCCGCTTCCGCTATTATGGTTAATTTGAGCGATAACGCTAAGCGTTAATTAAAGGGTAATTACAACAATTTTAAAGTCGCATGTTTTGTTTGAAATGAGGTAACTAAATAATAACACTTAATAATAACAACCTTGTTCAGGATAATTAAAACTTTTAAAACTTTTGAAGGGTTCTAAAGGAGGAAGTTTAGCTTATTTGTCTTTACGTATAAAAACTCATTAGCGTGAACAAAATGACGAAACAAATCGTTATTATTACATTAAAGACATTTTCTTGAGTAATCATTGGATATTTTAATCAACCCACCATTTTATGTGAATATCATAATCAAAATAGAATTAGACGTGGGTTATATATTAGTGTTACAGCAATCACACAACATCTAGCTGTCAACATGCGGGATTAAATGATATTCAAATGCCAATCCCATACGTCATGCTGTACGGCACCATTTGTGTTAACAAGTTATGCGTCATGCTGTACGTCATCCCGTGTTAACAAGTTATACGTCATACTGTACGTCCCCCTTGTGTTAACAAGTTATACGTCATGTTGTACGTCACCCCATGTGTTAACAAGTTATACGTCATATTCTACGTCCCCCTTGTGTTTACGAGCAATACGTCATGCTGTACGTCCCCCCTTGTGTTAACAAGTTATACGTCATGCTGTAAGTCACCCAGTGTTAACAAGTTATACGTCATGTTGTACGTTACCCCTAGTGATAACAAGTTATACGTCATGTTGTACGTCATCCCGTGTGTTAACAAGTTATACGTCATGCTGTACGTCACCCCGTGTGTTAACAAGTTATAAATCATGCTCTACGTCCCTCTTGTGTTAACAAGTTATACGTCATGCTGTACGTCCCCCTTGTGTTAACAAGATATACGTCATGTTGTACGTCATCTCGTGTGTTAACAAGTTATACGTCATGCTGTACGTCCCACTTGTGTTAACAAGTGATACGTCATGCTGAACGTCCCCCACGTGTTAACAAGTTATACGTCATGTTGTACGTCACCCCATGTGTTAACAAGTTATACGTCATGCTGTACGTCACCCCTTGTGTTAACAAGTAATACGTCATGATGTACGTCCCCCTTGTGTTAACAAGTTATACGGCATGCTGTACGTCCCACTTGTGTTAACAAGTGATACGTCATGCTGTACGTCCCCCGTGTTAACAAGTTATACGTCATGTTGTACGTCACCCCATGTGTTAACAAGTTATACGTCATGCTGTACGTCACCCTATGTGTTAACAAGTTATACGTCATGTTGTATGTCACCCCGTGTGTTAAGAAGTTATATGTCATGCTGTACGTCATCCCGTGTGTTAACAAGTTATACGTCATGCTGTACGTCACCCCGTGTGTTAACAAGTTAAGAATTAATCTTTAAGAATACTACAAAAGATCTTTCATCAACGGCTATACGATGATAGGAAATTAATGAAATACAGAAAATCTTTCAAAATGATAAGTAATCCAATCATTTTAGTCCGATCTTTATGCCCCTCCTCCGAATACAAAAACAGTATACTAGTATTCGAAACAGTAAGGTTTTTCAACTCCGTGCATGGATTGCCTTGGACAGATCTTGCAAAAACTTTTTGGATTATTTTATTTTAAATGTTCTTCAACTTCCTAATGGAGTTGGCAAACCAACGGGTTTGATTAGAGCTCCACTGATGAATCTTGTGAAGAAAAAACGTGCGTCTTGCATACACAATTAAACGCCTGGTATTTGATATGAGTTTTACAAGACACACTGATATATAACATATAAGTATTGTTGTTATGCTTTGATACAACGTATGAATACAGTGTACAGTATGAAATTCTCTAACATATGTTGTGTGGTTAAACTCAGTCTGATACACCGTATAAATACAGTGTACAGTATGAAATTCTCTAACATATGTTGTGTGGTTAAACTCAGTCTGATACACCGTATAAATACAGTGTACAGGATAAAATGCTCTAACATATGTTGTGTGGTTAAACTCAGTCTGATACACCGTATAAATACAGTGTACAGGATAAAATGCTCTAACATATGTTGTGTGGATAATAAACTCAGTCTAATACACCGTATAAATACAGCTTATAAGATAAAATGCTCTAACATATGTTCTGTTGTTATACTTTGTAACATCGTATAAATACAGCGTACAGGACACAATGCTCTAACACATGTTACACATGATACACCGTACAAATACACTGTATAAGATAAAATGCTATAACATCTGTGCTGTGGTTATACTCTGATATACCGTAGAAATACAGTGTACAGGACCCAATGATCTTACATATGTAGTGAAGTAATATTTTGATACACCATGCAAATATAGTTTACAACTGCATTTGTTTGCACCTGTCCTAAGTCAGGAATCTGATGTTCAGTAGTTGACGATTGTTGATGTGGTTCTTAAGTGTTTCTCGTTTCTCGTTTTTTATATAGATTAGACCGTTGGTTTTCCCGTTTGAATGGTTTTACACTAGTAATTTTTTGGGGCCCTTTATAGCTTACTGTTCGGTGTGAGCCAAGGCTCCGTGTTGAAGACCGTACTGTGACCTATAATGGTTTACTTTTATAAATTTTGACTTGGATGGAGAGTTGTCTCATTGGCACTCATACCACATCTTCTTATGTCTATATAAGACACAATTCTGTAACATAACAAGTATAGTATAATCAGACATACTGTATACATAAAGCGTAAACACTCAATTGTCTTGATATATAGTGTAGTTATAATCTTGTTAGAACAAGACACAAGACGTCAATATTAGAAGTGTAATTATAACCTTGTAAGTAAAAGACACAATACGCTAATATTTGATGTGACAGTGTAGTTATAATCTTGTAAGTACAAGACACAATACGCTAATATTTGATGTGACAGTGTAGTTATAATCTTGTAAGTACAAGACACAATACGCTTATATTTGATGTGTAGTTATAATCTTGTAAGAATAAAACATAATATGTTAACATTTGAAGAGTAGATATAAATCGATACACTCCATACATGAAGTGTAAAACACTTAATGAGCTAACATATACATGTAGTGGAGTTGTAACCGTTTACGTACAAACACTGTGTATACACAAGACACACTCATCTAACATTTGCAGTGCAGGTATATGCATAAGAGTACAAATACAGTGAACAAAACACAATCTTATACTATATGTAATGTTGCTAAAATCTGATACACCATAAAAGTAATAGTGTCGAGCCACAATCATCTAATAAGTGTTGTGTTGCTATAATTTGATACACTGCTTCATACAATGAACAAGGCACAATGATCGTACATATATAGTGTTCTTATAATCTGATACACCGTATAAATACAGTGTAAGAGACACAATGATATTACATATGTAATGTAGTTGTACTCTGATATATCGTATAAATACAGTGTATAAGGCACAATAATCGATCTAAGATATCAAGTATAGTTTCAGTTTGATAAACATTAGACATAATACTACTGAGTCAATGAGAAAAGTGTTAAACACCAAGAACGCTTATAACAATAAATGTGGTATGATTGCCAATGAAAAAACTTTCCACTGGAGACCAACATTTGATATATAATATGAGACATGTACTACCCGGTGAAATCTCAAAGGAAAAGCATTGTTGTCGCGCTTTTGCGTTATACATAATATCTCAGAGTAAAAAGGAATTATCTTTTATTTTGCCTTATACATAATATCTCAGAGTAAAAAGGAATTATCTTTTATTTTGCCTTATACATAATATCTCAGAGTAAAAAGGAATTATCTTTTATTTTTTCCCCGAAAAGAACATAGATGGTAGAAGAGTCGATTCGGAAGCATACCGCTACGATACTGATCAAACTTCGGAAGCATACCGCTACGATACTGATCAAACTTCTGACATTCAATTTATAACCTTCAACAATGGATTGAATTGCTTTTTGTTTTGTTGAATTGAATTTTTATATGATGTATCGTTATTTTTTTTTTGGTGAAAGTGGGATCAAAACATATGCAATAGTACGGTATGTGACGTTAACGTTGTCTAAGATGGGTTCGACGTTTTCATCCACATCTATGTATACGACCATTCCTTATGTACAATGCATTATTCTAGAAAACAGATAAACAACTGTGGCTGGTTATTCAACTTGTTAAGTCTACCGCTGTCGTTAAAATATGATAACGCATCGTAAAAAAATAACGCACGGTTAAACCTGTTGCTCATCTCACAATTTTTGCCTTTTGAATTATTGCTAAATATTTTTGTTCCTTAAAGGAACATAAAAAAATCAATATCCAAGTTATAGATCAGTATATACGGTATATTTGCAATGGAAATATATTCATTTGAATACTTTTATTCTAGTTAACAGGCATTCATCAAAGTTTTCAAACAACTATAAAGCCAACAAAGAGTCAATATAATTGATAAATACATATTAAAAATCGTATACAATGTTTATAATTAAGTAATATGAGTATGTGGCATATTGGGAAAATATCTAAAGGTTCGTGTTAATGTTATTATAGCTTCTAAGAATTGGTGGCGTTCAAAAGGTTGATATTAGTTTGTATAAATGTTTGAAAGTTGAGACTTTACATAAACACTCGTTAAGACTCATTATTGTATCAATCCCACAAGGTCTGTGATATTAATTAAACGTTTTTCTAACCCTGAGTTAGATCGGTTTCATGCTGTCTTCCAATTAAATCAATCAATACAGAACTACATATTCCCAATAACGTTAATTCTGATTGGTTAATTCTGCAATCCTAGATGACTGGTCCTCCTACTTTCAGTGATAAAATGTTAGAGAGGTATTTTAACTTTAGAAACAACACCGGACTGACCAAGCATGCATTTCTTTCTTTTACGTGACAAATTTGATCTAATATCATGGACACTTCTTATTTGGTTTTTTAATTTAGGACTTTCTAACAGTGTGGACTTAAACGACAAGTCACAAGGTAAGTACATACAGAGACATTTACAGCTAGTCTCCTTCGGTGTTTACTCAGTAAATAACATTTAAGTTAGCTTAATATAGGTATATGCAATACGTTTTATAAGATTTTTGGTACCACTTCAACATGTCAGACCAACTTAACATTTGTCAAAAGTTATAAACAGGTCTCATCATTGCCAAATTTTAGCTTTGAAAGTATACATATGACTGGACTATTTTAATAGTTTATAATTGTATTTAAAGGACACATTTTGGAAAAATAATAACACAAAGCATCATGCAAATGTGTAACTAAAGCTGAACAAGACAGACATAAGGAAATAAATAAAGTATCGAGATGTTTTAAAACGAACTTACCTGTAACAATTACATCCGGGCATCACTAGTATAGCAAGAACGCTTGTCCTTTGTTTTACACCCGGTTCTGGTAAGGTTCGTAATGCTCAATCATCAGTTTTACACCCGGTTCTGGTAAGGTTCATTATGCTCAATCGTCAGTTTTACACCCGGTTCTGGTAAGGTTCGTTATGCTCAATCGTCAGTTTTACACCCGGTTCTGGTAAGGTTCGTTATGTTCAATCGTCAGTTTTCTCTGCACTTTTTGAGAACTCATTTTGAAGTTCAGTTTCTATTTTCTGTCTGTATTATGGAAATTGTTTTGAATGATCTGTTACATCTAATAATTTGACTGAATATAGTTTCATTCACTTTTTGTAGATTACAATTTCGTTTATGTCAATGTTTCAATGTTTTACAATACACTGTATTTCATCATTAATCCAAATCATGTTTTTATTTGACTTTTAAGAGCATTTTGTATAGTAAAAATTATTGGATGTAAAAAATAACTTACGAAGTTTGTAAGAAAAAAAACTAATTAAATGTCAAACTTAAATGCAAATTTCTTGTGTATAGTATTTATTTATTTATATAAAAAAATCTTGATCATGCATGTCACTAGGTAACTTTTACAAGAACAATATGTATATAGTATGATCATAATCAGAAAATTATCCGTAAGGATTTGGTATTTATTTTCAATTGAACTAACGACTAAAGAAAGTTTCATCATTGACTTTTATACTGGAATACATTTTGTGACTAAATTAATACATTCATAACTATTTTTATGGTTTTAATTTGTTTCATCAAGGAGGTTGTACATCAAATATTCAAGCTAGACTGTGAAAAAATTAAAAGCGGTTAGCTTTGCATAATCAGGAATATATATCTTTTGGTGTCCGATTTTCTAGGATGTTTCGTGCAAAAAGTTTGCATATAAACGTGATATAAAATTGAGAATGGAAATGGGGAATATGTCAAAGAGACAACAACCCGACCAAAGACCAGACAACAGCCGAAGGCCACCAATGGGTCTACAACGCAGAGAGAAAATCCCGCACCCGGAGGTGGTCCTCAGCTGGCCCCTAAGTAAAATTGTGTACTAGTTCAGTGAAAATGGACGTCACACTAAACTCCAAAACATATAAATGAACTAAAATCTATATCTATTACTATGACGCACAGGAATTAGTTCCAGTAACTCATAATGCTACCTTACGTAAAATACAACCAGTTAACTTTATCTATTAACATATGTTTTTAAAAGTGCTTAACAAACTTTCTTTATTTCCTTTTTTGAAAATTTTGTCGCTAGATTTCTAGTACGAAGTTGGGAAATTGGCTTCGAGATTTGCAGTGAACATTTGCACGATCATTAATGCAAGAAATACCCGGATGTTATTTATTTTACAACTACCATTTTGGTTACTGTAAACCAACTAATTTTCGCGAACGATTTATTTTCGCGACTTTCGCGAGTAGAAAAATAACGCGAATATAAATCGTAGCGAATATGAAAAACTTGGATCTTCCCTGATTAAAATACATCAAGTTATTTTGAAAATAGCGAAATTAAATCGCCGCGAAGTGGTCTAGAAAGGGGTAAACGCGAAAATAAGTTGGTTTACAGTATCTGAGCTTAACCCTGACAAATCAAACGGCTTAAATAATCTGCCTAGGGCTTTAACTTTAAATGCACTAAATCCTTTTCTAGATTGAAAATTTCTTGTATATATTTCTTTTCTGGGTTGATCTCGTTGAATTTCTTTCACATTTTCTTAAACGTTTACATGACATTTAATTTGATCAATATTGCAAATATTCCAATCTTAACTTGAAAGTAAGATCTGGAAATGGAATTAGAAACTCTGGGTGGGCACAGAGATGTACAGAGATGTCTTTTTCCCGTATTCGTTTGAAGCTGTTTACGGTATTCCCTATTTCAAAGCATTTATTAAGGGTATTCAAATTCTGTTAACCTTTTCTTATGGACAAACAGTTTGACCTGATGGTCTTTTTCAATGAACGCCGAAAAAAAGCTCAGATCGCATATTGACTAAGGGACTTTTGGCTGAGGGTACTTAGTTTAAACAATATTTTATTTTTCAAAAGTGCAAAAATTACTATTATACAATAAAAATACAGGGGTTTGATTGGAAACAAGTAGAACTTATATAAATCCACCCCCCGCTGAGGTACTTGTAGTTAATACGTTTCATTCTGTATGTGGAAGGTTATTTGAAATCTCCATCAGTCATCCTTACAATTAAGGCCAAGAACTAAATGATGTTTGTTTACAGATCTCCATCACCCAACATTACAACTAAGGCCAAGAACTAAATTATGTTTGTTTACAGAACTCCATCACCCAACATTACAACTAAGGCCAAGAACTAAATTATGTTTGTTTACAGATCTCCATCACCCAACATTACAACTAAGGCCAAGAACTAAATTATTTTTGTTTACAGAACTCCATCACCCAACATTACAACTAAGGCCAAGAACTAAATTATGTTTGTTTACAGAACTCCATCACCCAACATTACAACTAAGGCCAAGAACTAAATTATGTTTGTTTACAGAACTCCATCACCCAACATTTCAACTAAGGCCAAGAACTAAATTATGTTTGTTTACAGAACTCCATCACCCAACATTACAACTAAGGCCAAGAACTAAATTATGTTTGTTTACAGATCTCCATCACCCAACATTACAACTAAGGCCAAGAACTAAATTATGTTTGTTTACAGAACTCCATCACCCAACATTACAACTAAGGCCAAGAACTAAATTATGTTTGTTTACAGAACTCCATCACCCAACATTACAACTAAGGCCAAGAACTAAATTATGTTTGTTTACAGATCTCCATCACCCAACATTACAACTAAGGCCAAGAACTAAATTATGTTTGTTTACAGATCTCCATCACCCAACATTACAACTAAGGCCAAGAACTAAATTATGTTTGTTTACAGAACTCCATCACCCAACATTACAACTAAGGCCAAGAACTAAATTATGTTTGTTTACAGAACTCCATCACCCAACATTACAACTAAGGCCAAGAACTAAATTATGTTTGTTTACAGAACTCCATCACCCAACATTACAACTAAGGCCAAGAACTAAATTATGTTTGTTTACAGAACTCCATCACCCAACATTACAACTAAGGCCAAGAACTAAATTATGTTTGTTTACAGATCTCCATCACCCAACATTACAACTAAGGCCAAGAACTAAATTATGTTTGTTTACAGTTTACCTACCTACCTATATAAATATCGATGTTTTGGAACAAAAAATGTTAATGTCTATTTTGTTTTTAATCTAACCCGTTATTTTATTTCATTTGTTTTGTTTATGAATTTCTATCGAATGAAATTGAATTCCTACATACTAAATGAAAGGTTGTTAATAATACAGTTACACATTTAACCCCGCCCCATTCTATATACACATTTAACCCCGCCTCATTCTATAGACACATTTAACCCCGCCCCATTCTATATACACATTTAACCCCGCCCCATTCTATATACACATTTAACCCCGCCTCATTCTATATATGCCTGTGCCAAGTTAGAAACATGTAATTCAGTACTAGTACTTGTCTGTCATAGTTGTGTTCCGTTTGTTGTTTTTATCATGCTGTTGGTTTTCCCCGTTCGAATTATTTAACATTTTGGCATGTCAGGGCCTTTTATACTTTTCTATACAATATGAGTTTTGTTTGTTGAAGGCCATACATTGACCTGTAGTCGCTTACTTCCACTTCATTAGTTGTTTCATTGAGAAACCAAAGCATATAACAAGTATTTAATAGTGAATAGGTACAATTTTTTGAAGCTCATGATAACTTTCATGAATCGAAAGCCTTTTACACTTATATCATTATTTATCTTAAAACCATTTAAGTAATTCACACTTTATTACCTCTTTCAACTGTCACTGTAATATTTTTTGCAAAGTGATGCTCAATTCAATTTTAATAATAATTCAAAAGTTGCTATTCATAACATAACTTACAAAATAATTCAAATTATCGAAATCGATGCCGTATCAATTGTAGCACGCTAAATGTCACCGGATTCAAGGCAATCTTTACCATTGAAACGTTATATAGCTAATCAAATCATTGTTTAAATATCAAAGTTTGGGTGTATCTTCATATTTATGGCTGACATAGGAAGGGCCAAAGAAAGACGGTAATGTGTTTTTCAAGTATCTATTAGCACGTAATTTTGTCATTCCATTAATAAGCCAAAGAATGAGAGAATTAGGAAATGGAACACTATCCCAGATATGTAATTAGATATGCAATGGCTAACTTGATGAGGAAAAAGCCACGAGCAAGATCATCATTTAATACCGACAGCTAAGTTTGTCATTTAACATGTTTTGTTTCATTAATTGTGGTGTTTTTTATACTTTACTTAAGAGATTAACTCTAAACTTTCTATGATTTGCTTGTTAAACGACATTTTATCTGTTATTGTATTTTAACGGTCTACTAGGTATTTTCTGCCTTTATAAAGATTTGAAGTGGTCTAAGATAAGGAAAATGAAAATGTTAATCGAGAAAATAGTAAATAGATATAAGAAGATGTGGCATGATTGCCAAAGAGACAACTCTCCATCCAAGTCAAA